ATGGAGGGCCGGACAAAGGGTGAGAGAGGGGGGGGGGGAGAGGAATGTGGAGAAGAGGAGGAAATGTATAAAGGAGGATTGTATAGAGAGGTGCAGCGATGACGTATTTCTTGAAGGTCGACCCGTAAGTTAGCATTGCAATAGTTTCTTTGAACAAAAGCCTATTGCAGTAAAAAAGATATGTGGCAAACACACTTTTATGATTGTTTTACATGTTGCTCAGCAGCATAGTCTCCACATATTAACTCCACTTTTATGATTTTTGTAGCGTCAATGCAATCTCCAGAAGCAAAAAGCTATAAAGGAACTGCATCAAGGTAACTTGACTTCACGTCACCACCGCTAAGCTAAAGGCTGCTAACTTTTGGTGCAATGACATTCAGTATTCTCATTTAGACACTTTATAAGACTCAAAGAAGCTTCAGACATTCACCAGTGAGGTGGGAGTGGGTATACCGACTTCCTCTTTGGTCGGAGAACCAAATGTGCACATTTCTTAAGCTTGTGTAAACCACAGACTTTATAGATAGATAGAATTGGGAGGGATGAAACCCTCTTTAATGGTCACACATGCAGAGCACACAGTGAAATGTGTTCTCTGCTTTTAACCCATCCTAGTACCAGGAGTCTAGTACTAGGAGCAGTGGGCAGCTATTGTACAGCGCCCGGGGAGCAATGGGAGTGAGGGGGGGAAGGGGGATGTCCGGTGCCTTGCTCAAGGGCACCACGGCAGGGCAGGATGTGAACTGGGACCTCTCCAAGTAGCAGTCCACACTCCATATTTTTTAGGTCTGGTCGGGGACTTGAACCGGCGACCCTACAGCTCCCAGTCCCTACTGACTGAGCCACTGCCGGACATTATATAAGTCATCTAACCTAATACATATTGAGCTAAACCATTAACTCGAGACTATCATAAATGCTAACTTATTTCCTGACTTTAGCTCTCATTCCTGCTCCTTCTAAGGTTTCTACAAATGTTTTCCCCTGTTGATTGTAGGGTTACTTTTGGGGAGTTTTACAAAGTGATGTTGTATGCAGTACAGTCTGTACATCCCCTGAGACAAATTGCAATTTGTGATATTGGGCTATCTCAATAAAATGTGTCCATTTGATTGATTGAGAATGACGAGAAAGAGAGGACAGCAGCAGAGTGAAGCATTAACGGGAAGAGACACAAGGGAATAAAGCAAGTAAAATGATGAGGAAGGAAGGGAAAATAGAGAGAGAAACAGCAGGAAGTAGATGGAGTAACGTGGGAGAAGTAGATGAACATAATTGGTAGTAAAAATATGTTTTCCCCACTATCACGTTTTTATTTTGTGATCACTCATTTCTTCCATAAAGACAAACTTGAGTCTTCTGGATAATGTAATAACATGTCCAAAGCATGCTTCACTGTTGAGGTTGATCATTAGTTCATATGGAGCAACCTTTGTACCGTGGCAGATTTCTTTGTTGAAAGTACATGTTCTGTTGAGAGCCTGTTAAATCTTATGTAACTAGTTCAGGGTCACTTACATAAGGATGAAATGTAACCGACATATGTACAGCGCCACGCTGTCAAGTGAGAGTTTAACTTGGGAGAAAACAATTATTTAGACCAATGTTGTACACTATATCTTATACTGTTGCTCAACAATGTTATATCTTTATACTTCTACTCCAGGATTTCTGTTTTAAGTAAGTGATTTAGAGTTAAGAAAACATTACAGAATGAGTCAGCATAACTGCTCTGGGACCTGACTTGTAAACCAAGACGATATCAGTGCAAGGCATGCAAAGGAGAAACAAATGTAACACTGAAATATCCATGATATCCTACATTTCCTATTAAACATATAGTAACTAAAACACTGTTGAAATCCAAGTTGTACATTTAAAAAACTTAAACTTTCTGAAAAAATGAGCTTGAGTCTTAATCCAAAATCTTATCTCAAGCTCTATAAAATCTTTGGATACTGTCAAAAATAGTACTAGCATCCTTAGTGGCATGCTAATAAAGAACCAATGGCCCCATAACTACATTACCCATGAGCTTCAGTGGCTGTTATTATGGAAAACCCTAATGTGAACTGATTTGAACTTGCTGGATGTTCTCGTCAAAGTAATAATAAGCTCCAGCTCAGCATCGTAGCTTGTAACTTTGGCTTTATCCTCCAAGATCAGGGTATCTTTATAAAGAGTTTTATGTGAATCCGAGCATTTAAGTACAACTGTCAGTCACCTATTGCAGCCTGTGCTCAAACTGAACAGGACTTTAAATTCCCAAACATCAGCCGCCGGAAAAAACTCCTGCCATTTTGCTTCTTTAGGGAGAGATGAAGAGGAGCATGGCAGTGAAGTAAATCATAAGAAAAGAGACTGATCAGCAGGAGTGTGAAGCCGGTTGGGAAGAAAGGACAGTGAGAAATGTGTAAAATGAGATATGGGGGAATAAAAAAGAACAGTAGTGAGTATATGAAGTCCAGAAAGCCACAATTTTAGACTTTGAAGATGATGTAAAGCTACCTGTGATTGAATCCGGGTACAATTTAAAATCACATTAGGCGACAAAGTTGGAGGGACTTGCCTGTATCTCGCTGAAGAAGCTATACACGAGCAGAATGAGGACGTGCTGTTCAAAGACATGACGTTTAAAAGTAAAGCAGATAGCGAACATATTGTATTTTCCCTGTGTTCATAAAAGCAGAGGGCGGGGCCAAGCCCATCACTGCAGGGCGGTAAAAAAAAGTCCTCCAAAAGTGCTGTTAAAGACATTTTTACATCCAAGTTTAGAGCTGTAGTTATTTTAAGACCCTGTCAGAGATTTTTAGGAGCAGTGAACGCCCTGGAGTGGGTACAAGAGCAGAGAAGGCGAGGAGTAATAATGGAAGGGCAAACAAAACGAAGTGAGGTTCACCTCTCACACGGCCCGCGCGAGATTTATCCCCCGTCTGCTCTGCAGGGGGTCTGAGCAATCAGCAATTATAATTTAATGGGCGACTGACGGGGAGTTACAGCCTGTAACACGCACTGCTTCATTATGAGGAGACAGGAAGCCTCTGGGTTCAATTCTCCTTTAAAAAGGTCTCCTATTATACTGTTTTTCATCAATATATGATAGGTCTCAGATATATACAAACATGTCTCTGAAGTGTTTGGCTCCAAACACTAAACAGATAATTGCAGCATTACCCATAATCCCCTCTGTTTCAGGCCTGTTTCAAAAGTGCTGATTCTCTGTCTGTTACTTTAGATGAAAATAAGGAGCCCCTCCCCACGCCCCTCTGAGAGAGATTTGGTTAAAAAGAACACAATGGTGCTCTAGGAGGAGATTCAGGTGATAAGGGGGGGGGGGGGATACCTTGGTTGGTGATTGGCTAATGGTTACACAAGCCAAAAAACGTGATGACATCATAAAGTGGCCAAAATCTGATCAGCTCATTTTCAGACAGGTTTTTATAGAAATGGATCAGGACAAAAAGTGAGAGAATATTTTTTCCTGAAACTTTCAGAATCTCTTTACACAGAGGGGACACATGTTTATGTAGAAGAGACATGAAAAAGTAGATTTTGCATAATAGGTGACCTTTAAAATACTGTAGTTTAAAGACTGATGAACTTTTTTTCATTGTCAACCAAGACAAAAACCAACAATATCTTTATCTAGAGTGTGTATCCAAAGTTGAATATATCTCTTATTCCTTTGTGCCACAGACCTCCAGGTTTTCTGCAGTGTTTAATACAAATTAAGAAGATTTTAATAGCACAAAAAAAGGCTATTTTCATACTTCTCAAAACATGTAAAGAAGCTAGTAGAGTCAATAAAGCCTAAAATACTTTATTGACACTACATTAATTTGTATTGCATTTTATCCTCGTCTGGTCTTCAACCTTCCTAAATTCTCCCACACCACTCCGCTCCTCCGCTCCCTTCACTGGCTTCCAGTAACTGCTAGAATCCACTTCAAGACACTGGTACTTGCTTACCATGCTGCGAATGGATCTGGCCCTTCCTACATCCAGGACATGGTTAAACCGTACACCCCAGCGCGTGCACTACGCTCTGCATCAGCCAAACGACTCGCTGCACCCTCGCTGCGAGGGGGACCCAAGTTCCCATCGGCGAAAACACGTGGGTTTGCTGTCCTGGCTCCAGGATGGTGGAATGAGCTCCCCATTGACATCAGGACAGCAGATAGCTTGCACATCTTCCGGCGCAAACTGAAAACTCATCTCTTTCGACTCCACTTCGAGCGTTAGAACTATTAACGAAGCACTTTTATACTAATAAAGGACTGGCTTATCTAAAGCCAGTTGAGTAGCACTTGAAATGTTTGGCTCTATGAAACCTGATGTACTTATATGATTCTGTTTTCTTCAAGGTTGTGTCTTCCTGGTCGAATGTACTTATTGTAAGTCGCTTTGGATAAAAGCGTCAGCTAAATGCAATGTAATGTAATGTAATGTAATGTAATGTAATGTAATGTAATGTATCCTAGCATTATATAATGTAAAATCTTAGTATTATCATGTATCAATGAATGTGACTTGGACGAAGATAAACAGAAAATAGTTAAATAGCTTAACCAGTTAAATAATAGTTTTAATTTATTTAAGTTGAACCGCTTGACCCATTATTAGTAGATAAGCATCCTTGTATGGCTAACAAAGGTATTTATAACAAAGACTAATGACACATTTCTTTGATAATATGGGTCGTCATTGGCAAGGAAATAAGTGTATTTTACATTTAGTAAAAAAGTGTGCCTATTTTCTGATTATATAAGAAATTGTACCTATTTTCGGAAGAATTTTAAGAAGACAGTGAGAGAGTGAAGCAGAGAAGATGATAACACAGCGAGTGAATAAGTGTTTCAGATAGGAAATAGCGAAGGGGGAACTTATCTGTCCAAGTGATAGACTGGGTGAGTGAGTGTGTGTATTTGTGGCGAAGCAGAGTGTGAGCAAGTGTCGGAGACATGAAGCAGATGTGGTGCAGACGGACGGCGGCTCACCTGCTCCAGAGCGATCTTCTTGTTGGGCTGTCCGGTGATAAAAGGCTGCAACCTGCAACACAAACGACAACACAACATCAACACAGTCCCAAACTACACATTTAAATTACAAAGTTTCTCCAAAAGCTTACTCAATCTCCATTACATCTTCACATTCTTTCAAAAACATTCATGCGTCATTCATGTATAAATGCCGCAAGGGATACAAATGTGTTTCATGCTTTTAGAAACACTTCTTGCCATCAACTAGGTGTGGGGTAACACTAGCTGATGCAGTCTCCATCAGATACTAAGTCATTCTAGTGCTAAAATTACCATCAACACTGATAGTTTGAACATTAACATTTGCAAATGTACTAGCATGTAGGAGAGAACTATGAGTTGGCTCTACTTTTGCTTCTCTTCTTACTTTAATGAGTAAATCACACATGGGTAAAACATGGGTAATTATTCTGAATCCACCATCACTGTGATGCCTGCACGGAGCAGCAGCAGAGAGGCAATGTAGTGCATGTACTTAAGGTGTTAATCCCTCCAACTCTACTGTGAACAGAGGGAGGTGTGGATGTTTAAGCAGTGGTAGAAACACCGCACACTAAAACTAACGGCCGGGCTTCATGACCTTGGAGTCATGTTGCTGTAGCAAATGAAAACCATTAATAACATTGAAGATCAGTCTGAAATACTAGTCAACAACTCAATAAATGTGTAGGTTTTATGAACCTCTCAGAGTGTATACATTTCCACACATAATCTTTTACAGACGTTAGGAGAAGATTTGAATGTGCAGACAGTTCAGATTTCACTTTATTGTTAAATATATCATTAACAACAGAGTGCTTTTAGGGGTTTTGCCTTTCCTGTAGTTTGTTATATAGGTTTTTGGGCATGACCAATCGTAACAGAGGTGGTCAGCTAACCAATCAGAGCAGACTAGGCTCTGGTTTCAGACAGAGGGTGAAAAGAGGTACTGCAGCACGAGAAATCTGACACTTAAAACAAAAGCTATTCATAATAAGTTCATTCGATGATGAGTATACAAATCATAAAAGCAAGAATCCTGCGACATTACATTAGCTTCAAATAAGTACCACACAGAGAAATGGGACATTATATTTTACATAGATTTAAGGAGACAAAGCGCTGTCATAACAGAATCAGTCTGCAACCGAAGATGTGTCCTCACAGATTCACTAATTTCTCTTTATAATAACCCGACTAGCAGTGTTGTCATGCTAACAGCTGTGTGAGGCGTCACTCAGGCACAGAAGTGCTTTATGCCAAAGGCTAAATTGAACACGCTCAACATGACAATGCTAACATGCTGCAGGTGTAATGTTTACCCTGTTAGTCTAGCATTTTAGTATAACAATAGGCGCTCATTAAACATGAAACTACAGCTGAAGGGAAGGCTTTTTGTTTTGCAGTTATTTAACAATAAATGAACGACAAATTACTGATGGTCTAAAAAACATGTCGACTTTCTGTTGGCATCACATGAAAATTCAGAATATCAAAAAAAGTAATGAGGGTTATAGGCTGGTTATGAATGACATAGTTCCAAAAATGAACGGCAAAGTGGGTATCACAGCAGGCTTCAGGGCAAGAACATTTGAAAACATAATAATTTATAACCCTTGTACTATTAATGATCATTGAGTACAACAGTTATTGCTGACTAGCCATCTGCATGGAAGGCTTAGCTGGATGTAATTAACATTCAGGAGGGCTCTTTGTAACCTGCATTACATTACATTCACATATATATTCATTACACTCTTTATTACAGGATTTACTGTTGACACAATAAAGGTTGAGGATTTCATTTCGATTACTACGGCTGCTCTTTGAGTCCTTTTGGCTTCAGGCGACCCGCTGGAGGATAAAATTAACACTGTGAATGTTAAATTACACCCAAAACTGTGACTGACAGGCCAACAGACTGTCTGTGAGCACCATCTCTTTCTAGACAGTCGCAGAGATAATCAGCGATGAACGATCCACCGGCGGTAATTCCTAAGCAGTCTTCCCTGCGTCCCACCGGCTGGAATTAGCCCCCCACACCCCCCACCGTCCCGGCCCCGCGCTGAGCCCTCCCCCGAGGCTTACAGTAAACGCTCAACTCGCACTGATAAGAGAGAAAACGCGAGTGAGCTTTTAATTAATCTGCTTTAACCAGGGGGGATGGGTAACAGAGAATGTGGCATCTTTCCGACCCCAACACTAGCCCCTCCTTCCTCAGAGCTCATTAGAAGAAAAAAATCCCAGCCAGGAGGGCGAATCGCTCCCCGCTGAGAAAAAACTATTCAGGGTCCACGTTCATGTGAGAGACTATCCGACCGAGCTCCCTTGGGCCCTGACCCGGACACCGGTGAGAAAGAAAGGGGGAGGAAGGAGGGAGGGAGGTGAACAAACAGGCAGAGAGGTGGAGGAAAGGGTGAAGAAGAGAAGGAGGGCTCAGGGATTCAGGGTACAAAAGAGCAAGTGAGGGAATAATAAGATGGACTCGGGGCACAGGGAGAGAAATATGGCACCAGAAAAGAGAGATGGAGGGTTTAATCATAAATAGCAGCACAAAAGGAGGTAAGGAGGGAGGTTATGAGGAGTATATTTAGCAGGTTTCTGTACTATGATACCACTTTTAAATGCTCTACCACTTTTAAATGTTTTATATACTGAGAAGCATTGATGACGCTTTTGGCTGACCCAGAAGTTAGCATCCCACGAAAGCAATATCATTTTTCTATTGGATTTTAAAACACTGCACAAAATAAGATTGGAGGCAAACATACCCCTATTATACCCAAATATAAGGATAAACTCAAGGGAAATGGTAACGTTGACCTGTAAAGGAACTACAACACAGTCACATGACTTCACGTCACCACCGCTAAGATAAAGGCTAATGTCCGGAGTGATGAAGTTTAGTAGTCCCATTTAGTCACTCATTAGCGAACCGTTTTAACAACACATAGAGGCTCCAGACATAAGGTGTATTTACTGACTTATTTTATGTCGTAGAAAATGTTTTAAAAATCTATTAAGCTTGTGTTAACCACAGACCTTATTTCAAAACTACGAGGGAACCGGAAATGGTAAATGCCCACTATTGTTTTAAGACTCCCTGCAACACGTGTAAACATACTTGGCCATAAACCAGATTCTGATATTGTAAATAAAAAGAAAGGGATTGAGAGAGGAGAAAGGAAGTGTCATGGAAGAAAAAATGGAAGTCGAAAAAGAGGGTAAATCCAACCGCTCATTTATAAGAGTTGACCTACATGTGACTCCAATGACATGTAGATCAATAGTCACTGGGAGGCGTGTGGCGCAGTGGCCTAGTGCGTTGGTGTTCGGATCAGGGGGGCACAGGTTCAAACCCCACTGCAGTCAGCATGTCGTTGTGTCCCTGGGCAAGACACTTCACCCCAAATTGCTCCTGTGGGGATTGTCCACTGTACTGAGTAAGTCCCTTTGGATAAAAGCGTCTATCAAGTAACATGTAATGTAATAATGTAATGTAATCAATACAACACAATAATTCACCTTCATTTATTGTCAGATAAACTACTCAGGACCCAGGTGATGTTATCCCACAAGCTAAACCCCCAAACATTTAATATTTACAGAGGGGAAAATAATTAATGTCAATTCCTCGATCCGTCCATCAACCGGCAAAATTTAAATGCATTTCATCATTATAGTCATTCATCAAGTTAAATGCTTTCCCCTCTGTTATATGGTTGGAATGGATTTTTGAAAGTATTGTTAAATGGGGTTCAGGCAGATAATGCTACTTCATTAACTGCACTAGAAGAATACATTTTTGGTCATCAGAATAGAGTGGCGAAGTCACGCCCATCTACTTGCGCCCCATGGGACCTTATTTCTGAAAAAGTATGTATTGAAGTCAATGGGGAGAGAATGATTATCTTTTGTGTCAGAACTTTCTCCAATTAAACAAAGATAAAACTGAGGTAATGGTTTTTGGAGCCAAGGCAGAACGTATAAAAGTTAGCGCTGAGCTTCAGTCTGCAATGTTCAAAACAACAGATAAAGCCAGAAATCTAGGTGTAGTCATGGACTCTGACCTGAGTTTCAACAGTCACATTAAAACTGTTACTAAATCAGCCTACTATCACCTAAAGAATACATCTAGGATTAAAAGACTAATGTCACAGCAGGATTTGGAAAAACTTGTCCAGTAGACTCGACTACTGCAATGGTGTCTTCACAGGTCTCACTAAAAAATCTATTAGGAAGCTGCAGCTGATTCAGAACGCCGCTGCTCGAGTCCTCACTAACACTAAGAAAGTGGATCACATCACTCCAGTTCTGAAGTCTTTACACTGGCTTCCTGTGTGTCAAAGAATAGATTTCAAAATACTGCTGCTGGTTTATAAAGCACTGAATGGTTTAGGCCCAAAATACATTTCTGACCTCCTGCTAAATTATGAACCATCCAGATCTCTCAGGTCTTCAGGGACTGGTCAGCTTTCTGTCCCCAGAGTCAGAACTAAACATGGTAAAGCAGCGTTCAGTTATTATGCTCCAAATATCTGGAACAAACTCCCAGAAACCTGCAGGTCCGCTGCAACTCTGACTACTTTTAAATCCAGGCTGAAGACTTTTCTTTTTGTCGCTGCTTTTAATTGAACTATTCATATCTTAGACTGCACTGTAACTTTTATCCATGTACTTTTTTCTTTTAATGTTTAATTGACAGCACTGTAACTTTTATCCATGTATTTTTTCTTTTAATGTTTATTTTATTAGCTTTTCTTTTTAATGACTGATTTTAAATGCCATTTTCTTAATCTCTTTCATTTTTTGTAAAGCACTTTGAATTGCCTTGTGTTGAAAAGTGCTATATAAATAAACTTGCCTTGCCTTGCCTTGCCTTTTGATCCCGTTTGAATTGTGCCACGAATTACACAGATGATGTTTATCAATCTTAAAAAATCATTTTCTTGTCAAAAAAGTCAGTTTGTCTTAAAACTGTTGAAATATAAGACTATGAAAAATACGCAACTAGAAAGACTACAAATCCCA